AAGTGCTACTTTATAAAGTTACTGTGGGAATTAAATGAGGTCACATATTTATATGCATATGTGTATAAATACATATACATATTTGTCATGTATGCATATTAAATAGTCAACTATGTGATATCCAAAAGTGAGGTTATACATCATCTTTAAAAATATAAACATATTTCAAACTGACAGAAAGTATCTAAGAACAATACAGATGAAATCCTACTCTTCTCACGTGGATTCCCCTCTGTTACTTTTCATTCCATATGCAGCCCCTCCTGTCTTCTCTGCTGTTTTCCACATAGACTTTTCTGATATCATGTGCTACTTCAACCTCCAATCAGGGAGGACATGCCATCATCTGCACTCCACAGTTCACTCCACAGATATTACTTTGCCAGTATCCAATCGGGGCTATTCAAATTTCCACAGTTCTCCCTACTGTCTCTTTTTCCTGCCTTTTGGGGATCCTGTACAGAAATATATTTTTCCTGTATTTTTTTCAATCTGAAAAGTTAATGGTGTGGCACACTGCAGGGTTTATCCCAGTGCATGTTGTATGAGCTGACTCAGGCATGAAAGGATGCTGAGTTCTCAGTGAAATACACCTGGGCATGCAACCTACACAGCCTTTATTGTGTAAGTGTGGTGCACATATATGTATATATAGATGCTTCCTAAAAATACATGCATGAGTAGAGATATATCTATATTTATTGCTATTTCTGTTATTGAATATATTGAAAAGCCCAGAAACTCATAACAACATTTCTGATGCCAATCTGACACCTCTGTCTTACTTTTAGTCTTTGCTATTTTTACATTTGTAAGTGACTTCAGACATGGAGATATTCAACTCCCATTATCTCAAAATATGTACTTACTTTCTTATGCAGTAATTTATTTGTTTAAGGAAGCCAGTCTCCTGGTAGCTATGGTCTCTCCCTTTGTCCAGCACCTCTAGAAACTCCTCTGCCCCATTGTTTTAAGCTGCCAATCACACTACTTTCATGGTCTCCCTTCTGTCACAACATTGCTTCCTCTGATGCCCATGACTCTTTGAGCAAGTGTCTATGTTACAAGAGAGGAAACAACAAGAACTGAAGATATGTATGGGTTTAAACTTCTTAAGTTTAAGATGTCATTTACACATATAAGATGACAAGACACAGGTCTGGAGTTCAGGCCCCATTACAGAACATATGTCAAATATTTTTATTCACTCACGTTTTCTTTGTGGGTTGCTCTGCTTAGCACACAGTCCTCTTTCCTCATGCCCAGAGCTTTGGTCAGTCCTTCAGGAGCACTGCTGAGCATACTCATTACCTGGGTACTTGTTGAAATGCAGATCCTATTTCTCTAGGTTCCTGGAAGGAATCAAAGTTCTCTACAATAGTTTTAAAGAATTACTGACAATGATTCAGTTAGTCCTCAGACTCCACTTTGAGTATTAGAGCTCTCAGGTATCCCATGTCCATCTTCCAGTCCTTTCTCAGCTTCTTATTGTCAGTTGACTTAATTTCCAATTTCCTTTGGAAGGGTTCAACATGGTCCTCTTTGGTTCTCTCTATTAGTTATCTTCTTCACCCAAAACAACTGCAACACAAGCACACAGACAGACACTGCTTGTTGTGTTACACAGAAAGGCTTCTTATAGTTTTGAATTTTATACCTGTTCACTTCACACTTTGTTCACCTTGTATCTCTTTTCTTAGCTCACTATCATTGGGAATTTGGATATTCTACTTTTATCACCTCCAAAATGGGTTATCACTTTCCCTTTTTTGTTTATAAGGAGCCATTAACTTCTTCAAATCCAATCATATTGAAATTATAGACCTTATCTCTTTTTTCTCTTTGAGGAAGATCATCTTTGGATATATTAGATATACTAGGTGCTTATCAAATTCTTAAATTGAAGTGATTCTCCTCATAAAATATTTACAAAACAGTTTGGGAAAGTTTTTTTT